AGTAACTCCTCTCCATCTTTCTAACAATTTCAGTTTGAACTCCTTGTTCTAACTAAAGTCCAGTGCATTTCATTGATATCCTATGCAAGAGTGAGATTAAGAATTTAAGTAATTGAGAATCATGCATACTGACTGTAATGTCACACAATGCAGAAGATCCTCTAAATTCTTGTTAGGACACATGGCACTATTGATACCAAAACCACATTAATTGCTTTTCCATGGTTTTCAGCTTGCATTTTAATGAACTACAAAAAAATTGTGTTGTGCCTATAAACCTCACAACCAAGATCACTAGTTCAAAAGTGTGTAAAGGTGCTTTGGAGGATTTATTCCCCTCCCAAATGTTTATTCCTTTTCAGATGCCAGCTGAAGAATGAAACTGGTCCGGTTTTAAACCTAAAAGACTAAGAGCTTATGGAATAAAATGTCATGCCTTATCATTTAGCAGAAGCTGGAGGCTAATTGTGAAGTTTATTAACAATGAAAACAATGGGGTTCTCAGAAACTCATTACCATGGAGGAAACTGATGTTATTTTTCTGAAGTTTGGATTCCACTGTGTTTTGTTCCACAACATGCAATTTAACTACCCCACTTTTGAAAATGGGAGATGACTATATTGTTTTAAAGATCTGCTCACACTAAAATAAAAGTAATTTTAAGACGTCCCCTAGGGATTCAAGTCTACACATTTAGCAATAGAAGGAGGAAAACAGTGTAACTGCCAGCTTGAGGAGAGAGATGATGAGGCATGCTTTCTCTCTAGTGTTTCCCACATTACAGACACAGTCAATGAAACTAGGTGCAATTCTAAAAACACTTTCCTCGACAGGGCTTAGGCAGATACTCATCTGAGTAAGAGTAAGCAGCTTTATATTCCAGAGATCAAGCGTATTCTAGATGCATACTGATCCTGTCTTCCGATCAAGACATTTTTGTTTCAATAACCATTTTTCCATAACAAAATGGTAACATTTGTTTTCATTTTTTTAATATTAGATATTTAACAGTTAATTAAACATAAACATACTTATTATTCAATTACATACAAAAGCTAATGGATGACATTGGGAGATAAATTTGCAGAACAATACCATCTCAAACAGTGCAATACTGTTTGGTTTAGGAAAAGCAAATATATATATATATGTATACACACTAGATGTATATACAGATACATGTGAAAGACCAGCTATAGACACTCCCAGTAACACACAACGGAGTTATCTTTGAACCACACAAAATATTATTACTATATTGAGGAGCCCAGTAGGGGGAAGAAGGTAGTTTGTTGCTTTATCACTTTTTAGTAACAATTAGCCTCTATGTGTTTGATTCAGTCTTGGAATGTTCTTTTCGTAACTGTTATTCCATTCAATTCCATTCACTGATGGACATCTTCCCCTGCTAGTGTACAGAAAATAGTTGAAAATAGCAGCAAAACTCAACATTGATGACATAGCCTTTCACTAATATACCTAATGAAGTTACTGTTTTGGACCAATAGTTCAGCTCTAGAAGAGGGAGCTAAGAGTGTACTCATTAGTTTTTGTCATGATGTCAGAAACAAAGTCTCACAAAAATGCTACTGATAATTAACTTTGAAAACTAATCCCAAGACCTTCCTTCATATATGACTAAGTGATTCCTAAATTTCATCATATTTCTTAACCCATCAGTTATAAACATCTCTCATGAAGCTTTAGCACAAAACTCTCACCAATACAGAGTGCAAGCGTGCCCCTCTCATGTACCATACTCCATGATCTTCAGCCTATTCTGCTGTGGCTATTACATGAAATACTGTATAGATGAATGCATTTCAGGATAGACAGCTGAATTCAGCTATTATTGGAAGCTTGAGGAATTCCTCCATTCAGCTGTTTGGCTAAAAGAAATTTTACAGAGAGACAGCCAAATTATAAGGAACAGAAATGTTCATACAAGCTTGTAAATTTCAGCTTTGTGTTTTACTTTTAAAATGAAACATTATTATTTAATGTCTTTGAGCTACAGTAGTGTCTCTTGAGAATTGCCCTGGCTCACATCACTGAAACAAACAAACCAAAAAATACAACAAGATTGCACAGATTTACTTATCAATCCAGGAAGTGGACCAAACAATACAGAACAAGAGGAAATAAATCATCTCCATATTTTATAATGTTCAACAGGTATTATCTGTATTTTATTTAAAGACAAGAAAGAATGAAAAGTAAATCTGCTTTCCAACCATCCTAAGCATTTTTTTCAGTGACATTTCATTCAATTAGATGTACACTACTACTTTCCTGAAGCCTACTTTGCATATTTATTCTTATTGCCATAAGAAATCTTTGTTACATTTTCACAACTTACTCTGAAGTACAACTGCTTTATGCACTTGTGCTGACACACAGAGTTTTACAGCACAATACATACTTGCTGTTGCCAAGTCCTTTGCTTCAAATTTCCCATGCTTTTAGCCTTTGCTGTTCCCAGCAAAAAGAAAATTGAATTTTCAGCACTATCCAAACAATGTGAACGTAGCAATGGCTGTTCAGGGGCAAATGTGAAGTTCATTTAGGCCAGAACCATTTCACTAGCAGTGGTCAAAGGCAGTGACCTAGGAAAAAACCCCATATTAGGACAACTCTCAAATAATACAGTAATCCCCTGGAACACACTTCTGGCTCCCAGCAATGTGTGGCTCAAAGACTTAAATGTGAAAAGACTGGAAGCATTGGTATATGATAACACTGTTTTCAGCAGGGCTGGAAAGAAGAGCAGAAGATGGCATACTTTAAAAACGAAGGAAATTTCAAAAGGAAATATGTGCCCTCATCACACATACATGCCACTTTATTCTATCCAACAGTGTTTCTTGCTCCCAGTATTGCCTTTACCCTCAAAATGTGCTGTTCTCCATATGGAAGAGGTGGCAAAAATGAAAGTGTTTCCCTTCTTTCCTCAGAAAACCTCCTCCTGACTAGAGCTGGCCTCCTGTTCCATTCCACTTGACTAAACCAATCTTTTTCTCTTCCCACACTAGCTCCATCTGCCGCCCGTCTCTCCAGCAGAGCCAGATGCCAGCAAAGCAGACTGCTGTGGGAGGAGAAAGTTCTGTCGCTGGAATTTCATCCCTACACTCTGCAGGGGGCCAGCCTGTGAAGCATGGGGAGGATACAGAGAGCAACTTCCTCTCTTCCACACTCCTTCCTCTGCTCATCAGTAAAGAAGGCAGCTGAGGACATGAGCAGAAGGATAAAACACCAATGTGTTCTCTTAAATATGCAGTTTTAATATTCATATAGCAGAAGTCTTACAGTTGTACTCCAGACTTGAGCATGGTACACACCAGATAAACACGGGAGAAGACATAAGTCCTGCTCCAAAGACCTTACAATCCAACAGAAGCAGAGATGCACATTTGTGATAAGAATCAAATGAGTGACTAGAGCACAGATGACAGAGGAAAAAAGACTCGGATTTATAATCAGGAGAGATTTTAATGATGGAGTAAAAAGACAATACTTTCTGGAGAGATGGAAGTCAAAGAAAGAATCAATGGATGAGTGTTGTTAAGCTGAGATAATTGCAAAGGAAACTGCATGTAGAGAAGGAAAGAGTAGGATGAAAACATAGAGAAAGAAAATGTGGGTTCTTTATACACTTGATGTGATCTTGCATGAAACGGAAAGACAGGTAAGAACTTTAGATAAACAGTCTAGTAACAGAGGAGGATCTGCATGAGCAATCTTGTCAGAGAAAGGAGCAAGAATGTGTGTCACTGAGTGAGAACAAGAACTCATATAAAATAAGCAAGTGTGCATATGTGTGAGACAGGGACACAGACTTCATTTTTCTGGGAGAAAGAATCATGGGAACCAGGAGACTAAAGAGACTATAAAACAAAAAAGGCTGGTGTATGGGTGCAGCAGAAAGTTTTGAGTGGGGTTGGCAGGACAGAAGAAAGTGAAGGTACAGAGCAACCTAATAGAAGACCAGAATTATGCATAAGAATCTCAAAGAGCACATATAACTTACAGAGACATAGCAAGAAAAATCAGTAAGTTGACTTGACAAGGAAAATAAGAAGGAAATAGACACATCACATTGCAGCAGAGTAAGGGATCACAGCAGAACAAATGGAGTGACAGGATGGAGAAAAAGGAGGAAAGAACATACACAAAGATGATAAAAGTCAGTAAAGAAGCATTAGTTAAGTGAAAGCACTGTGTAAAAACTCCTAATGGGAAAACTGGGTGCGTAGACAAAGGTGACTGGAAATGGATGGTCACTGTAAGTGTAAACTCTTAGGGTTTGCCCCATCTTGGTATCCTCACATTTTAATCTTCATTTTCCCTCGGAAAAATGCTGTTTCCTTGTCCTCCACACCCCCTAACTTCCGAGCTGTAGTTGCACCTTTATGCCATTTGTTTCACTATTTCTAGTGGCAACTCTTTTTCTTACGTCTACATGGGAAAAAGATCTTATTTTTTTCAGATACTCTATCACAAAAAAACGTGCCAAAAATCTCCAGTTTCCTTCCTCCTGTCCCCATAACGCTCTTTCATTCATTCTTCTTTGAAAAAAAATCCAAACCAAACCAAACCACACCAAGCCAAAAAAGGCTGGGAAACCTCAACAATACGGTGGTATCTTAAGTCCAAGACATTCAGCGAACCTTTCCTGAGCTGCATGTACATTCTGCGCCCCAGGTCTCCTCCGTGCCCGGGTGAGGTTTCCCGTCTCCCGCGGGCTGCGCTCCAGCGCCCGGCATCGCGCTGCCGGGATAACGGGATCTCCGGCTGAAACGCATCCATCAGGCGGGGCAGCGCGGGGAGGGGAGCTAGCTACCGGCTGCTGGAAGGAAAGCCTACACAGACGTATGCCCTGGCTGCTGGAAGACATGGCTGGCTGGCTATCTGATTTGATTTGAGGGACATAAAAAAAGGGAAGGGAAGAAAGGGAGAGGGGGAAGCATACACGCTCGCACACGCATCCGGCTGTTCTTACCTCCACATTGAAATACTGCTCCGCTTTGCACACTGTAGCACATAAAATCCAAATGAAGGTTTGCAAGAAAAACACCCTGGATTGAGAAACGAAATCCAACCGGCTTCCAGTGCTGGATGCGAGTACGATCATAGTGAACTGTGCTTCAGCGGGTGGAAGACCTCTCCTTCTCTCTCTTTGCCTTAAACAAATGCACAAAACAAACCAGCCTCCCCCGAGTCGGTGAAGAGCCCGTAGCGCAGGTTCACCCACAGCCGGGGAGGAGGAGGAAGAGGAGGAGGAGGAGCAGACACTTCACAGCACAGGCGGCGGCGCGGCAGGGTCAGCTCTCGCTCATCCTCACCACCAGCCCCGTAAAGAGGGAATGAATGTGGCGTCCGAGTACACTCGCTGCTCCGGCACGACTCCTCTCTGCCCAGCAGCAGCAGCCGCCTCCCCGTGTCCTCCCTCCGCTCCCGCCTCCTCCGCCTCTCCTCCTCCTCTTCTGCCTCCTCCCCTTCAGCCTCCGCCTCCTCCCGGGGAAGGCGGGCCGGCGCGGCGCGGCTCGGCTCGGTTCTGCTCGGCTCTCTGCCGTGGCGTGGCGTGGTTCGGCTCGACTCGACTCGGCTCGGCTACCTGCCCTGCCCTGCCCTGCCCTGCCTTGCCCTGCCCTGCTTCGCCTCGCCCTCCGCCGCTGCCCTCCACTCCAGAACGTTCAGCCGAAACCTTCGTGGTCCCGCCCCGTAGGCGGCCTAAAGGCGACGGCCCCACCAGGCGGCCCCGGCGCGCCAGCGCCACACGGCCGCGCTCGGCGAGCTGCGGCCCGGAGCCTCCGTGGGCGGCTGCTGGGGATCGGCGGCCCGAGAGTAGCCCGCGGCCTTTCCCCACGGTCCCGTCCCCAGGAGCCGAAGGAGTGCCAGAGCTCCCCCCGCCTTCTTCACCGGAGGCGCCCGGCGCGGAGCGAGCGCCCTGAGGCACCCGCGGTGCCCGTGCCCGGGAACGCCGCGCTCCCCTGCCCGCGGTGCTGCTTGGGTGATGAAATCCTGCTTAATGCTTCCGAAAACATGGCCATACACTTAAGGGAAATCAGCATGTGAAATACTATAGCACAGACTAACTTCATGCTGGGTATTGTCATATTCAAAATGCCTTACGATTATGGCAGATGAACTACTCCTGCAGTGATTTAATAGTAAACGGGACTTTTTATCCGGCCCTTTGATCTGTTATCCAGTATAAGGAAGGTGAGATGATCCATAACATCAGTGGACGTGATACTGCTATAATGCATCTTGAGGAAAAACGAGGAGGGGAAAAAAATCCCAAAACTCCAAGTTTACTGAAGGGAAAAAAAAATAGAGAATTTAAAATTAGAATTTTTTTTTTGTTTGTTTGGTTATCAAGAAATATGCAAAGATACTTGATCATTATATGGGCCAAGTAGAAAACAGGAAGTAGAAAACATACCTGATGTGAAATTTCCTGATGTGAAATTTGCATAATCTGATCGTTGAGCCCAATGGCTGAAACACATGCAGACTACATGTACACAATTTTGAATGCACCTGGTAGCAGAATGTAGGAGTGTATTAGGTTGTCCACCATTTTGTATATTAAGAGTAATTTTGTATATTAAGAGTTTTATGGAGAAGTCATGATCTGCCTAATCGAAAGTAATCCTGTTTAACCAGAATTCCTTATGTGGTATACTTTTTTCATATTAAGTACTTGATCTAAAGGCATTTTCTGTCCTGATTCTTAGTGATGTGAATGATGAAATTATGAAATACAGAGCTGTCAGCAAGCTAAATGGACCTGTTGGCACTTTGGTAACAAATGTGGGAAGTCAAATTAAATAAATGAATAATTAAGCACAAGTTAAAGAAATTTCTTGGAAGAAGCAGGAGAAAACGTGATACTGACGCATGGAAATTATATTTGGGAAGAAAAATTAAAAAGTAAAATCAAAAGGATACTGGTAAAATAACAGCACTTCAGAAAATAATCTGGGGGCTGTAATGTAAATATGAGTCAGCAATGTGTTACCATTAAAGAAAAAAGACGGCGTCACTGTGGAGTGTATTAATAGGTGTGCAGTACATTTGACAGGGCAAACCCTTTCTGCAAAGAGTTGAAGAAGCCAACTGTGTTTGGTCTCAAACTGAAGGCAGTCCAGAAGAAAATTACAACATATTAGAAGATGCATAAAGTTACAGATGGGTATAGAAGTTGGAAGAACACGTGTTTAAGAAGATAGAAATAAATGAGCTCTTTATGTGTAAGTGTTGCTGTGAAAAGGACAAAAATACTTAATTCTTTCTGGGAAAAAAAAAACCCAATGATCTAAATTATTCGTAAAGTTCAGATTCAATGTTTGACAAAACTTTCTAAAGTGTTATGGTTTTGTACTGAAATATATATGTTTTTATACATACTGGAACAATAATGTCCCAAATTTAGCATTTGGAACAAGATACCTACCTAGTGGAAGTGTGGAATGTCTTCCATGTGTAGGTTTGATAGGCAAGATTATTAGAGTTAATCTCTCTAATCTTAGAGACGTAATTGTATTATGAGATCTAGTAAACTTGTTTACTTCTAGCAAAAGTAATTTAGTGATTTCTTTTGTTTTATTACTGTGAATTCATCACTGTAACTGTATGAAGGAAACACTAACTTTATGCTATCCCTATTGTTTTTCCTCTTTCCCAAAGGGGTTGTGTGTGTGTGTCCCCTCAGCAAACACTAGCTCTGTGCTTCCCAGTCTATTTTGTAGAGCCTGCCATTAGTACAATATCCAGAAATGGAAACGAAAATGAAAATAGGTAAGTTACTGTAACGGGAATTTCATTGGTCTGTCCTGCCAGACCTATGTGTGGCTATTTATTGTGAAAAGAGCAGGGCCATAAATGCAGCTACCTCTTTTCTTTACACTGCATCCATTGGGAGAAAGAAGAAGAAAAGCAATGATATGAAGAGAATGGTGGACAACGAAGGCACATGAATATTTCTTAAGCATGTTTGAGGAAGAGAGGGAAAGATCACACAGGCAGAGAGAGATTGGTAAGGAAAGGCAGTAGAAATGTATGAATAGGAGCACCAAGGGAGAGACAAGGCATATGAAGGACCGAGAAGATATTTGAAGTGAAAGATAGCATTCAGGAATGCTTGTGTGAGTGAAGAAATGCCAGCAATGGTGGGAAAAGGCTTTGAATATTTATGAGTAAGCTGCGGGCAGAAACACACAAAAGGATGGTCAGAGCCTCATGGGACATGTAAGAAGGAAAAAGAAAATAGAAAAGAATCTAAATCTCCATACTGAGCAATGTTTGTGCTTATGTGTGTATGGGATTATGATCGAGATTAAAGAAAAGACAAACAAAGCAACAAAGATGAAAGGGTAAATAAACAAGTAAAGAAGGAAGAAAGCTGATTAATGAAATAGGAAAAAAATGGGAAGTGTTTGTTGAAGTGATTGTGTGATTCAAGTCTTGTACTTTATAAGCACCTTACAGATTTTTATCTTTATCAAATGCCCTTATGATTTCTATATTCTTGCCTATGGCAGTTACCAGCAGTAATTAATAAGCAGTGAGCTGGTTTGTAGGGAAGCAAAATTTAAAAAGGGAAAGTTTTAGTTCTAAAACTTTTAGCTTTTAAAAAGGCAGGAAGAGATCTGTCTCTCTATTGTGTTACCAGTCAGCCCATATACCATCAGAGTTTCTTAGACTCTAGAATGTATCTTTTATGGATGACGGTAGTCACAGATTTGCAATGAATACATACCAGAATCTGACACAGACATGATGCATTCTCATGTCCAGCTTTGAACACAAGGCAAAAATATTTCCCTGTTCTGTTTACCAATTATGAATAGAAATTCATATAATAAATAATTTTATAAAAGAAAATACTGCATGTTGTCCTTTCTGTGCTTTGTGTTGCTTAGCTGCAGATAGTACCAGCTGGAACTTTCAAAAAAGAGAGCTTCATTACAAGATATAACAAACTGCAAAGGGTGAAGGTAGATGTCACATATTTCACACTGTTATATTTAGTTGTGGTTTGCAAAAGATTTTTTAAACACCTTGCCTTTTATTCATGGAAAGACATCTTCATAGATGTGTCCATATGAATTCTGTTTGATTGTTTGAAAGGTCCTACAGGATGTGAAGGCAATCAGCAAGTTCAACAGCATAGGAGGGATTATTACATTGAATATATATTCCTGTCAGGATCACTTCGTATTGCCTGTGTTCAGGTATCTGTTTACCCAAGGTTCACTGTAGGTATACGGTTATCCTGTCCGAAAGTACAACTGACTTACACTGTCAGTGCACTTTACTGTGTTTTACAGTAAAGTGCACTGACGGTGCAGTTTACAGCTCTATCGATGGCTTTATAGAGAACCTAAGTAGAGATAACAAGAAATGACAGTGTAAAACCTTACACATAGTTGTAGAATCACAAGGAAAATGCTTAGAGTCACAAAAATCAGTAATATTTTCAAATATTTTGATTCGCATGTGATTGGGGTTTTTGGCAAAGAGCCAGTGAAGTCAGAGAGGAAGAAAATCTGAAAGTGTAAGGTTTTATTTTAAAATAAAGATTTAAATTGAATTTCTAATTCACAGAACCATAATAACGTAGAAAAATTTGGATTCAATGAGCCCTTTATAAGTCATGTCCAACTCTGTACAAAGCAGAGGGAACTCGGGTTACTCTCGTTCTTGCTCAGGGAGTTATGAATCAAGTTAGTCCAACTGAAACATCATTTCCTTATCTGTGATGTGATTTCTCTGTTTCAGGGAGCTATTTTGAGAGTAAAATCTCTTCTGTGAGGCATTTGTTAGGCTTTCAGTTATTTTGGTCTCTGTAGAGACAACACCCATTTCAACAAGTATACCAGGTAATTCCTAAACTCTTGAAGGCAGGAGAAGCAGTGAAGAGAAATAGGAACAGAAAATAGAATTCTGTAGCTGAATACTGAGAGAAATACATTTGAAAGAGAGAGAACATAGAGTGAGAAAGAGAAATGGCTCCTCTGGAGCCATGAAAGAAAATCATTAATAAGTATACAATAATTAAAATATCTCTTTTTTGATAATGACATTTTTAAGAATGTGAGTTGTTACTGGGTTAGTGAAGAAGAGGTAAAAAAATGCACTGAAGCAGTCAACTCCTTACTTGTTTACTCTGTGAAACTGTTCACATGAAGCTTTATTTTCTTTTCTTTATGACAATTTTCATGCTGCTTTTTTGTCTCCCAGTCTTGATTCCTTGTCTCCATGCTTTCTGATTTTTTACTTTCTTGCAGACCAAGAAAGGCCCATTCAAGCATCAAGTCTATCAAAAACTACACAAAATGTTTATCTCAGACTGGAGGATTCTTTACAGCCAAAAGCTTACAAGCAGTCCATCTTTCCTTTAGACCATGCTGATGATTATTCACTGAGTTTACAGTAGGGTCTGAATGGCAGTTCAGTGATTGTTCATTTTTACAAGGTTTCATGTGTTTTAAGACTGATATTGGTATTAAGTAAGAGAAGAACACAGTATATGAAACAAAAAATGACACAGAGCACTGTCAGGTGAGTCTGACAGATTTGAGGAGGAAGACATGAGGAGTTCTGAGAGAATACACAAGCATAGCTAAATGGCTTGGAAAGTAACCAGGTGCTCTGAGAAATATTGAAGGGTTTGGTCAAGACACAAACAAGTGTGTCTGTCATAAATACTATGTTTCAGAGGTGTTTAAAGTTCTAGTTAATAGATGGCTTCTACAATGTAAATACAAAGACCTCCATAGCTCTATATCAATTTAAATTTTAAATGGAAGATAAATATTCCATTCCTCAAACCCAGCTGGAAATTCCATATCAAGATGACTTAAAATAAGCAATTTTTAAATTACTCTATTAATTAACATCCCCCTATCAACTGTACTTAGAACCTGTGTAATTTGTTTCGTTG